ATTCCCTTCAGCAATCAGTACCTGGTGCTAAGGTTGCCAGTGCTGCTCCAGGGAGTTATCCCAAAATGCTGAATCTGGGAGCAACAACAAACCTTTCACCACAGCCAGGCCTGGGAGCTGCTCTTCACCTCATGTTCACACCAGGGCACTTGTGCCACAGCTGAACCGAAGGAAAACAACACCTGAATTAATCTAGATCACAGCCTGGATTGGTACCGCCATCCCAGGAATTACAGAAGACTGAAATGTAGGAACAAACCACAGGAAACTGTCACCTGCTACTAGGATCTAAAAATTAAACCCCAGCAATGAGTGGTATTTCTGACCTGGGGAGGAATCACTGCTGTTTGGCAAAACCATCCCAATTACCACAGACAGTTCTTGCCACGGAGGTCAGAAAGGTAGTTCAGACTCAGACAGGTGCCTAGAAATGGCAGGAGGATGAGAAGGAAGAGAAATCCACCTTAGAGGGGGATGTGTTTTATCCAAACAGCCACACTGTAAATACACAGACAGGGTGACACCCTGGGAGGGAAGGACTGGAAATAAAAGTTGTCCCAAAGAACAGAAACTGAGGAGGAGTTTTAAACGTTCACTAGGAACTTGCCACTTTAACTGTTACAGAAATGGATCACAACAGAGTCTCTTTCCATCAGGGATTAAGAGTAACTTGCAGTTGGATACTATTAGAAACTGGATACTAACTATCTCACAGACTTGGAGCTACAACAGTTAGGTGTTACAGGCTCTCCCTGTTCTGATGGTACACACGGATGATCCCTAATCACCCCTAATCACTCTAGCCACCTTACAAGCTTTGTTAGTCACACAAAACTTTCCTTCTTCACTAGCCACAGTCATTTCACCAAACGCCCAACACTGCCATCCCTCTAACCACACTCACTCCCACTCCCTCCAGCTCTGTCCCTACCCACAGTCAGGGAGGGGATCCCACTGCACTGAGTGCTCATTCCTGGGGTATCTATGGAATAGTTATAAAGAACTGAAACAGCCTTTCCTTGGCTATCAGTCTCCTCCTTTCCAGAATTCCTCAGCCCAGGAGGCAGCTCTGTTCCTTCCCCATACTTCAGAACAGGCACAGGGACAGTTGATAATGCTGAGAAACAGCCACTAAGGTTCATTCTGCAGACTCACATTCCTATTCTCTGACAGCTGTAGAAACCACAAACAGAAATCAGCTTCAGGACTCAGGAGAGTTAACTACAACCAAACCTAAGGCTAAGCAGTGCAAAAAGCAACCCCTGCCCTTCCTCACTTGTGCTGTTCTTAATCCTAATCACATTCAGAAACCACTTCAAGCAAAAAAAAAGTACTTCACAACACGCTGGAAAAAATAAGCCTTTTCAGCCTTGCAGAGCTGACCCAGATCAGCCCCTCTAACCCCTCCTGGGGAGAGAGCTGGGAGCTCTGCAGGCTCCAAACTAAACACAGCAGTGTCTAAAAGAAAACACAATAGGTGATTGTCTCACTCAAGTATGACACTACAGCTCTGATCAGCAAAATAACAAATATCTGTTCCATTTCCTGTCTAACTGCACTCCAGACACACAAGCTGCTCCCAGCTCCACTCCTGGGGCACTCACACCCTCACACACGGGTAAAGGAGATCTTCAGCAGATTGGGATAACTGTTCTCTGTCCCAAAACACTCCAACTGCAGCTGAGGATCTCCAGAGGAACAGAGCACTTGTACTAGAACAGAAACTCCTCACGCCTGGCACGTTCTCCCTCTGCACTGTGACACCAAACCCAACAGCTACACCCAGGAACTGCACTGGGTCAAAAAGGCATCACTTGCAATTTGTTTCGTTGAGCTGACAGAAAGTAACAGCCACTCTTCCTACTGATGTTTGCTTTGCCACGACAGAATCACTGGGGCTGGAAAAGACCTACAAGACCATCGAGTCCAACCTGTGACCCATCACCAGCTAGAGCAGAGCACTGAGTGCCCTGTCCAGTCCTTCCGTGGACACTTACAGGGCTGGTGACTCCACCACCTCCCTGGGCAGCACATCCCAATGCCTGACAGCCCTTTCCGTGGAGAAATTCCTCCTGGTGTCCAACCTGACCCTCCCTGGCACAGAGCACTGAGGCAGCTCCTGCAGGAGGTGTGAGCAGGTTAGTGCCCACTGGCTCTGAGTGCCCCAGCTGCAGCACTCCACACTCACTGCTCTGGTTTCTGCAGTTTACACCCAAACCAGCACCACACTGTGTCCAAGGCCTCAGGGCTCTGCTCCACAGCAGCCACAGCCACGTTACACCCTACAACCAGGTTTACAGCAAGCCCAACATTTCCTGCACTGCACACTCTGGATTAGCTCGTTCAGAGTGAAAGGAACATCAGGGACAACATGAAGAAGATAGTTTCAACCTGATGTAACATGGTGCAAAAATAAAAGCCTATTTGCTTTGAGGCCTCCAAAGTCTGAGCCAACACAGCACACTATGAACCTCAGGAGACTACCTAAGGCTCCTCAGCTGCAAACAAACTGCCTTCCAGTGCCTCTCATAAACACTCCTTTGGCTCATCACCCCAGCAAAGTCCTCTCCCCATTGCTGCTCCCCCCGTGAACACCTGAGCAAACTCTGCCTGGGTAAACGTCAGTGCTATTCTGACTCTACACAAATTAAGAGTACAAACCTTCCAGGTCTTTCAAAGAAAAAAAAACAACAATGCAAATATTGATTTTGCCACTACTTGTCTCAGAACAACCAAGTTAAAGCCAGTTCACCTGAGCTGCTAAACCTCCAGGAACTGGTGCAGACATCTGACCCACCTCACATGGGCTCTGGGTCCAAAAAGCAGTTTGCTTTGCTAACAAAATAACTCTTCTTCCCTTAAATAAACTGTTTCTGTTTGCAGGAGAGAATACAGAGAAGTGAAACAGATCTTTTCTTTCCAATTTTTTTTTTACATTATGAAATTTACTGTGTGTTTATCACATTCAAAAAGCATTGACCAGTGGGGTTTGGGAACTGTTGGAATGCCAAGATAAAGCTGGTAGGTTTGGAAGCTTAATTAGCACCTAATGACTGTGAGCTTGAAGGAAATTTAACAGCCATGAGTTTAATGCTCCCAAGAGTTCTGTGGGCACCACAGAGCAATCAAAAGTAGAACCAAACAGTGCTTTGGGAAGACCAGACAGCATCGTGAGCACATCAAATCCAATCCAAAATTCAAAGGAGTTTCAGGGTTTGATGGTTAAATTCTTAGCCCCATTTTCACATCTGTTTAAAATCTCATTTCTGAGCTTAAATTTGTCCATCTGTCATCATTGCCTACATGGGCAATTACAGAAGACCAGGATGAGACCTGGGAGGAACACAGAGACTCCTGACAAGGCATTGCACGGCCGAAGCAGAGTGGGGTGGAGGAGAGGCAGCAATTCACATGGCCAGGTAAGGACCAAAACCAGGACCAAAAAAAGCCAAGTTGCATGAAACTGCCCCAAGAGTGAGCAAAGCCCACGCAAGAGCAGCTGCAGGGGCAGCACAGGGAGGCTCTGCCTGGGCTGGGTGGATGAACTGACAACATTTCCCCACTGCACAAGTGACTTTATCCACAGTCTCTGTCCAAACAGACCAAAACCTAACCGAGGGAGAAATTTGACCAACTTTACAGAAAGCTCTTTACAGAGCTAGTTCTGAAACAGCAGGGACAGATAATTGCTTCACCTCCAAATTCAGGCTGAAGTGCACCAACAGCATTTACACCAAGCACCTAGTTATCTTTAGAATGAGTGAGGAAGGACAATTTACTTTAAGGGTGTCCTCTAAATCAGCACAGAAATCCTCTGACATCCTGGCTTTGCTTCAAGGCTTTTTGAGAAACACACACAAATAATTCAGATTTAGTCCATTTTATTTACAGTTTGTTTTTGTACATTTCAGAGCATTACACAAGTACATTTTCTCATTTTCTGACCTGCAAACAGATACCTCCAACGGAAATATTTAAAAAAAAATAAAAATGAAGTTAGATACATCCAAAAAAATGCAACAATTACACATCTGACAATTCACAAAGTGTAATTTACTAGGACGTATCCTAAGAATTTAGGAACAACCAGTCAGGAGAAAATCTGACCAATTTCAGCAATGGATTATTTACACATTCGAAACAAAGCCTCTCTTTAAGCTAAACCTCCAGGCAAACGGCCTGAAAGATTTCTTCAGGAAGAAAGACCAGTCTGGTTCACACCTATGCAGCATTACCAGCCCTCGACGCCGCGCAGAGCCGCAGCATCCCTCGACCTCTCCGGCCCTGAAGTGACAGTTGTGCCCCATGTGCATAGAAAGTTGAGTGTTTGAGTGGTCACTACGAGAAAACCCCATTTAATCTGGTCTTTAAGCCATGCCAGTTTCTTCTTCCTTAAAAACTTCAGCAGGTCTCTAACTGCACCCAAGGCAGCCCCCGTGGGTCGGGACGTGCCTCGGGGATGTGTCAGCACAAACCCACCTGCCCTGGCCAGACAAACACATCAGGGACCAGTTCAAAGAATCTTTAAAGACCATTTAGACAAGGCTTACATTTCTACACTTCCCTGATGGGCCACCTAAGAAAAAAAACAAAAAGTCACAGCTACTACTTTCATCCCTCGTGTCAACCCTTTTGCCACACAGCAACTAGTTATATACTGGGTAGAAACTACTAAAAAATTCCCTGCAAATCAGCAGCATTTCAGCTGAGGCTATGGCTCCTATGCATCAGGTGGTGAGGAGGTTGGGTTTCTTTTTTTTTTTTTCCTCTTTTAAAAAAAAATTCTCACTTGGAAAAATACCGAAGTTCTCACTTTAGGCTAATTTCGATTGCATGTTCAATTCGACTGTCAAGAAACCGCTACAAATGGAACGAGCTTAGTATAAAAAGAGCAGTGAACCGAGTGCAACTCTGCCAAGTCCTCCAGGGGAAAGTTCTCTAACTAGGCTACGGATTTGGTGGAGCCTCCAAGGTTTCTGGCCTACCTTACTCTCCACGTTTCACGTTTCAAACTGCGTCAGCAGGGCCCGAACCTCG